AAGTTTGTCCGTGATAGTTCGTAGGAGGCTGATATGTGCAGCGAGTTCAGCATGTTGCTAAGCCTTGAGGGGTGCAACAGGGGCTGTATTGGCGAGGAATCCCAATCTAGCAAGTGCATTTGCGGGGGCAGAACAATGCACAGTTTGTTCAGCAAGGCGGAGTAGTCCAAGGGGATGGTGGTCTTCGAAACTTCCAGAGGGAAAGATGCGAAGAGAGAAGTTGCTCCAACGGGACAGATACCTTAGAGGGATAAGTCTCGATTCTCCAAAGGGAAAATCATGTGCAACGGACTGCACATGTTGAGGAGTACCTCAAGACAACAACCCTACAAAGCTCAACGGACCGAGCGAGTGACGATGAGTCATCATATGATCATCGTCATCATATGATTTCGCATGAGATAATGCATTGGTGGATACATTGTTAGATCAAGTGAGGGAGCGACCCAACGTAACACAAAATGAAGGTACACTTAGAGCCGATATGAAGATCAGACTCAACGAAGGGTTGACCTGTGGAATGGTGGGTGCGAGGGCCACCATCAACTCTATGCAAATCGATGAAAGGAGCAACTTGGGTGTAACTTGGTGAAGTACCCAAGCCGCATGAAGGGAGTCAGCATAAAAGATGGAATATAGAGCGAAGGCATGAAGCTTTCCTTGAATAGAGGTCAAGGACTTAAACTTTTGTAGAGGCAAGAGCAGGATCATGTCGTTCCATGGGTCCCTCATTCTGATGGAGCAGACTCATCCTGCATGGTGCCAAAGACGAAGGGAGCTTTGAGGCACATACACTCAGAGAAGCATTTGACGAAGGAACCAAGGCGACTCAACTTGCGGAGATGAAGTTTGGTTTAGATGGCCTTGACATGGGGCAAGAGGACACGGAGGCGGGTACTCTTGAAGAATATGCCATAGTGCTACCATTCGAGTTGCCATGAAGGAAGCGGTGTGCAGCGGAGATTGTGCCGGTGAGGGTAGAGGCCTAGGATCTAGATAATGGTGCACCAATTTAGCGAAGTTGGTGGACTTTAGGAGCTACTAAGTGATGGACTATCTTAGAGCTATGCTTCGTCTGGGTGCGACCCGAGAGCGGCTGGACGAAGGTCGATTGCCAAAGGAGCAAACACAATCAAAGGTGGAAGAGGCCTTGCGATGTGTTAACAGAGGTCACACATGGAGGGATTGCAATTCGAGTTCACACAATGATTAGAATGCAATTGAGATATCACCAGGAGGGGACATGGTATAGCAGATTGTAGTGGAATAGTTCGTGGTAATGCGATACATACGAAACTAGTCCAGCGAGGGACTAGATCATACGAAGGTATAATTGGGAGCTATTGGGAGCTCCACTTCAGTGAACAACACGACAACAAGAAAGACTATGGATTCAATGAGTGAATGTCATGGTATCGTAGAGGAGGGTATTTCGTACATGAATTGAATTTTGCATCAGATAAAAGCCTTGGTCATCAGCATATGGGGGTTGTGTACCACCGAGGGAGAATTTCAAATATAAGTACTAGTGAGTCCCAAGGGGGAACTTGATCATGTAGAAGTATGATAAGAGCGACTGGAGAGTTGGATTGCTCCAGAGCTCATATTCGCTTAAGGGAGCCCGACAAGTCAAAGGACAAGGCCGAGTAAGCGAATGTTGCTACCAAGGAAGCTAAAGAGAACAGAATCGGTGTGAACCCTGCAACATGATGGCAGAGGCCATGCATGAGAGTTGCAGTCTATCTTTCCATCAACCAAGGAGAACTGTTTGGAAAACACAAAGGTGTTGAAGCAGTGAGTTGAAAGGAGTGAGGAAGCGACGATAAGTCTAGAGGGATTTAGCTACCCAAAACCAAGCATCGGTTAGAATGGAGGTGGACTCGGAGGAGTGCCACAGAGGCAGATCTACCGATCGTGAAGAAAAAGACGCAGATGCGAGGCGACGAATAGTAGGGCCATGGGCATGGTAACGCCATGGTACCGCAAAGGCGGGACTTCTGTAAAGTCATCGATCCCTTATTATCATGGAGGGAGAGCACTTGGTCGTGAAAGAGGCCGAGGAGGTGGAGAATGTAGAGGCAAACTCCAAGTACCAAGGCAAGGTTGAAGTGTAGAGGCCAAGGAACTTCGTAAGACCAGTGTCAATGAGCTTCTCATCAAGATAGCCAAAAGTAGAGGACTTCAGGCCAATGCAAGAGTGCTTGACCAAGGAACGAAGTAGGTAGTACATGGTGTTGTACCTTTGAAACTCAGAGGAGTAGGCAGCAAAGATGATGGAGAAGACAATACAATCCCAAAGATGACCAAAACTATTAGAGACTTGCTCCAAGTTGGGGTGAAAACTTCTTGTATTCCAGAAGTTCGATGGCATTAAGAAGGTGAATCACAATAGCTAACTCAATGCAAGGAGTGCAAACACTTCGAGTTCTTCAGAAGTGTGAGCAAAAGAGCGAGCGAAGGTTGGCAACCAGCTCAATGCATGGAGGACAACCCTCAAGGAGGCGGGCGAAGTTATGTAACTTTTGCCTTCTCAACTCTTAAGAGAATGGGCGAAACCGAGTACCTCAATTCTCTTATCTATCCAGCAGAGGAGCTTTACACAGGTTTAAAGACCCTTCGAAGAAACATAATGGAAGACAATAGTTGTCAAACCCTCACCATTGGTGATCAATGTTACTGAGAGTAGATTATCCGCTTCATTTTCAAATGGAATGCCAATCGAAAGTGGAAGTGATGCGAACCTACTTGGAAGTGACGACTATGTGGAAGAAGAATCAATAGGCAAATTTTATAGAGGATGGACCCAAAAACTTTAAAGTCTGCGAGGCGATGCTCATTAAAGCTTCAACAAGCATCTACCTAGTTCAAGCGGTATGAGTCATTTAAGAGACTGACGCATACTAAGGATGTTCTTTTCCTTCATTTGAGAGATCCGTAGGAAACAACATGGATCAACACAACTCAGCCGACCCCACACCAAAGTCAAAGTCATTGACGAGTTGAAGCAGCACAGTAGATTAAAATTCAACTACTCAATAATAGTAGCGGAGGGCAGTTGGGAGCCAAGAAGCGTATTGCAACTAGAGCAGAAGATTGAAGACTCAGCAAAGGCGAGGAGATGCAATGTCTGCAAAGGCTTCGATGAGGGCATCGAAGGAATAAGTGAGAGAGAATGTCATGGACAAAACTGTAAACAAAGTGTTTGAAGTAATGCTCATGTATGTTAGTGTCTTTCGATTTTGTTTATGCTTTACATAGCATGTAAAGGACTGATAGTAGGTTTAGCAACCCCATTTTCTTTGGTTTTGGTGGTCATCTTAGGCTTGCAAACAAATGTTGTGTCATGTGGGCACTTGTGGGTATTTCGGTCTGTAGTGGACCATTTTGGACCCTTTGTTGTGCGACCGTTCAAAGTTTGTAAAGTTTATTTATAATTTGCATTGGCTATAAAGTGTTTGCTGACATGCTTGCTTGTATATCCCAAATGAGACGCTTTCTCTAACTTGTTTTCTATTTTGTAGGTCCTAAGGGACCATAGGAGGTTTCAGCCTAAGGGACCATAGGAGGTTTCAGGGAGACTAACTTTTGTGGACGGACACGTAAGGGTGCTGCACGACTTAAGCAAAACCAGCTAAGTATGTGATAGCACGTTAATCGATCTTATGATATAGAGCAGCAGATCGACAGCGAAAGTAAGAGTTCTAACATTTTCTATGCTCCACACCAATACATGTCACATTCATCCTAGCCTTAAGAGTCGTCTTAGACACATGTGGTTCACGACGATCAGACTACGACCATCACTACATTGTTGCACCAATGATATAAGGTGTATCAATATATTATGTCGTTGGATCAATTTCAGGATTAAGTCCGACAAACATATCAAATTGATATACAGATACATAGGATCGAGGACCCCGATCCACTGGCTGTGGTGTCCCGTCGTTTTTTTTCTATGTTAGAACCAAGTATATCCATTGATTGATTACTTAATTCATTTGAATCTTAAAGTTTAAGTTATTTAAAAAAATAATCTAACAATTCAAATCATTTCCTTATAGATAATTCATTATTAACGGAAAGATCTGAAACGTACCACAAAATTACTCCCCAAAGCCTGAAAAAGATATATCATTGTTCTTTCCTAATTTAGATTATTTTTACTAAAATTATACTAAATTTATATTTATTTTCAACTTAAAAATCCTAATATAACTTTTTTTTCTTTCTATTTTCAGGTATATTTTGAGTTATTTTAAATGATTTTGGGCATATCGTCGATACACCCTGTTGTACCGACACATGGTACATCGATATGCCTTAATACATATCATACCAATGACTTGTCGGTACACTAATACAGACCGATAAGACGAACCTTGGTTTATTTAATATGAAATGTTAGATTTGTTATCATAACAAAGACCAGAGTAACGATAACTATTTGATTGCTTTGGCTTCAACATATACACAATTTAATAAAATAGAACATTTTCGTTTGAGAGGGCTATAAACTAATTTGTCAAACCATTTATATTCGTGAAGCTTCATAAGCACAAAACAAGGATATGCAAGGATGTTTGGCCACAATAAGAAGAGAAAAAAGGCAACTTAAACCAAGACTTGCAAGGGTATTGCGATCAAGACATTATCCTAGTATATTCCAGTTAAGAATTGAGCAATAATAGCCCTATAAATAGGTCTTGTGGTACCTATAAGACCTTTTTTTTGCTATTTCTGTTTTTTCTTCTGCAATAAAAAGTTTTTTTTGAACTCTCTAGTTCCGATCTTGGTAGAATTTTCTCCTCATTGAATTGGAAAAGCCCTAGTTTGAAGGGTTAATCCTAACATCTACTTGAGTGCCTAGAGAGGACTATATGCAGCATTTTCTTTTGTAGTCCTCCAAATAAAAAATCATCTAGCATCTTATAGGAATTTGAAATGCAATAAGAAAAGTAAATGTTTAATGCAGGATGATGAGGCATATTATTACTTACAATTTCAGTTTTTTTATTGCATCTTTTCATTCTTCCAATCACTTTGCATCAGTGGCCTTCTCAACAATTGAATCAAGAAGAAATCATTGCTGAAGTTCCTCACCAGTAATCTCCAGTTCCTCACCAGTAATCTCCACACGAGCAATTACCATTGCTGAAATGATGAAATCTAGTGGTGTCTCTGAGGATGATGTCACGCTTCTCAATCAAGGAAAGGAACTTAGCAGCATTGTGACAATCCCCACATACCCGAAGGTTCTTGAAGACTCGGAGTCTAGTCCCTTGCAAAGTGCTAATCAACCCAAAAGCAATAGCAAGTTTTTCACTATGCCTCATCAGCATTAGCTCCTTCTGATCCTCACCAACATCATGTAGATCAAAACTGAGGTCTGGCACATAGCCGACAGCCTTCATCCTCTTTTCCATCTCAGATAATTTCTGATGAATTAAGTCTAACTGTGGATGAATCCTGTCTCCAGATCTGAACTCATGGAAGATGCCCCTCACTTCGATCCAGCTGTACCCTGGCATTTTAACAATGTCATTCTGTTTCATGGACTTCCTCACTCTGGAAACATCCCCCCACTTGTTCATTGATGCATACACATTAGCAAGTTGAACATAAGCTCTTGCACTTTGTGGCTCTGACTCCACAAGTCTCTGTGCGGAAAACTCAGCGAATTCCAAACTTTTATGGATCCTACAAGCACCCAGCAAGTTTCCAAAGACAGCTGGATGTGGTTTGAATGGCATGGAGAGGATCAAGTCCACAGCTTTCCCAAGCGAACCAGCACGGCACAGGAGATCAACCATACATGAATAATGATCTGACTCAGGCTCCACACCATATTCTCTCTTCATTGACTCAAAGTATTGGATGCCGAGCTCCAGCAACCCTGCATGATTGCATGCAGTGAGTACTGCAACAAACGTGATGCAATTGGGTTCTACTCCCTCCCGTTTCATTGCATCAAATAACTCTATTGCTTTCACTCCATGCCCATGCTGTGCACACCCGGAAATCATAGCATTCCATGTAACTATATCCTTTGTCTGGATTCCATCGAACAGTACACATGCATCATCCAATTCTCCGCACTTGCAGTACATGCTCATCAACGAAGTGCCGACTGTAGAATTATGGATTAAAGACAATTTGTGAGCCAACTGATGGATCTGCTTGCCCAACGCAAGAGCTGACAGATTGCTGCACCCAAGAAGAGCGCTGCTGAGGGTCGACGGATTAGGTATGACTTGTGGGAACACTAGCATCTTCCGGAAGTGCTTCAACCCGTCCTCTGCTCGGTTGTTCTTAACGTACCCGGCAAGCATGGCATTCCAGGACACCAGATTTCTGGTAGGCATCGCGTCGAACAGCTCCTGGGCCTTCTCTATATTTCCAGCGTCCATGTATCCAGATATCATCGCCGTCCACAAGACCACATCGTTCTTATCGGGCGCTCTACGGAAGTGCTCCTCCGCCGAGTCCATGTCGCCGGCTCGTGCGAAACCCGACACGATTGCATTCCATGAGACGTGATTCTTCTGGGGCATCGCGGAGAAGAGCTGCCGGGCCTCATCCATGGCGCGGACCCGGGAGAAGCCCGATAGCATGGTGTTCCAGGAGGCGACGTCCTTGAGGGTCATGGCGTCGAAGAGGCGCCGGGCGCCGCGGAGGTCGGCGTTGATGAGGTGGCAGGAGAGGAGGGTGTTGTAGGAGACGACATCAGGGCAAGGGATCCTAGCGAACAGGCGGAGCGCCTCGTCGAGGCGGCCGTGCTTCTTGGAATAGCCGGCGAGAAGGGAGTTCCAGGATACGGTGTTTCTGCGGGGCATGGCGTTGAACACCTTGAGGGCGGAGCGGAGGTCGCCGCTGCGGACGTAAGCGGCGACAGCCTTGTTGGAGGCATGGACGGTGAGTGGGAGTCCCATGGAGCAGAAACAGTGCCTAAACGTGGGGTTCAGTTCCGTACCTCTTCCATTAGCTTATGTTGGTCTGGGCCGGGCGAAGACCACTCCAACTCTACATTTTTGCTGGACCAAATCTCACATGCAAATCAAAATCAACAGATGCTCTGACGACGCCTACCGATCCAAATAAAAAGTGTATACTTAAACGCAGAACCAACCAAAAAAGAAATATCACAGTTTCCTATCACCAGGTTCGGAATGAGCACGATAAGCTGAGATGTGCGCACAAACATTCCACTCCTCAAGCACAATGATCTACATGAAGTGGCAAACACTATACACGTCACTGATAATTAATATACCAAATTTAAAGAGAGCAACTAAGTTAAGGGCCATGAAGTAGAAACACAACAGCCAGCTTCGGTACTCACTGGCATGTTTAGTACATAAACGAGATGTTAAAAGCTATATATATATATATAAGAAAAAATCTCGACCAAGATACTATGTCAAGTACCGGAAGAACCTCTTTGGTGGTTTGCCACAAGAGTCATTCCATGCCTAGGTTTGCCGAGAGACCAGAAATACCGCATCTTGAAGCGGCTGGTGGTTGCCCGGTAAGAGTTCATAAGAGGAGGCCAACACCAATGGCAATCCCAAGCCTTTTCCAACGTAACTCTGACATCAGCATTAAACCATGACAGTTGCCCATCCTAATCCGAGTTCCAACCTTGAGTGTCGTAGCTGTGTCTTACAATCAAATCTGGATCATGTTCTTGGGTTTGTTCATATGCAGAAGCCTGTAAACGTGTTGTTAGATCAATTAAGCACTAAAAGGTTTGGTCCTTAAAAAAAGAAAATGTGAATTAGGAAACTGGAAACATCCTTTGATGTATAGAAGAGAATTTTCTTGCATGTGATTCACTGATTTGCATCAACTACAATCAGACAGTTTGACAACCCACACGTTTTGCTTTATCAAGACTCAGTAAACAAGCACAATGCATGATGTGGAAATTTTTTAGGCGAGGCTTCTAAAAGAGATGCCGGCAAAAATGTTCAACCCAAGGCTTCCTAATCCTTTTTTTTTTTTTAGAATATTCTTACTTACTTTGTTCTTCTAGACTGTTCTTAAATTCTATCCTTCTTCAGCTCAATCCAACTAAGATACCAATCTTATTAAAATAAATTAAATAATAATAAGAGAAAGTTTACTCTTAATTATAATATCGCCTAACCAATATGACAGTCATTCAAGTATAGCTATCCTAATAGATCTAAGGAAAAATATTTCATTCATATAATATAATATTATTCTAGACCCAACTTACTATAAAATTTATAAATTTATTATTATCAATAATAGTTACTATTCATCTATAATTCTACTTATCATCTTATTTCTAATTTGAACATTGGAGGGACTTAATTGTTATCTCCATCCGATATCGATCTTTGTATAGATTAGGTCCTTGATGAACATTTGAACCATTTCTTCAATCATCTCAGATCTCTTGCATATGAGTTGGACTAACTAAGACATCACCCACGTTCATCCTATCACACAAAAAAATGAAAAAAGATTATGTAATCTTATTATTTTGATTTTGAAAGAAGACTATGTAACCTAGCAATAGCCTTCACAATACCAATGTTAAAATCCGTTGATGTAACACGCAACAGGTTCAACACATTGATTCTTTAATGATTTATAAAGACTTGGCTGATACTATGTCAGTAATGTGTAAAACAATAAATTCTAATAAGTAAAATAAAGATCAATTTACCTTTGACTATGCGCATTAATGTATGTCAATGATCACCCCATTACAATTATTCGTATCTGATATCATTCAATATTTCACAAGCAACCCATGCTTCAGTTTTTGTGCTAAGCCCATGACATCCATTCATATCATCTAAATGTAATGGTTTCCTAAAATTGTGTTCTTTTTTCTCATACCTACAGGCATCATGATAACATCTATATACTCAAATCTTGTGCTCTGGTCTGGCAAATTTTAAGTAACATACCGCAGCCTTGGAAGCACATGAGGATATATGCTAGGTGATAAGAAAAATCTGGGTGATGACTCATGGTTTACGGCAACATGATTAAACAAAGAGGGGATAGGATCTGTCTCATGGTTTACCCAAGTGGACACCAGTACAAAAAGAGTGATTCGAGGGTTGTCACCCCTCTCCGGTAATATTCTCTCATTTTCACCTATTATAAAAAAATTATCTTTTGTATGATAATCCAAGTCACTTATATTTTATTAATTTTATCATATCCACCAATTAGACTTTGGTCTTCGTGTAGACTATCCCTTTGAGCATGTGACACCTCGACCCCTTGAGAAGCATCAACAACACCTCATTGGTCAACTCACCTTCTTATGTATATAGAGACTCAAATCACATTGGGCTGAGTCAGACCTTATCAATTTTTCTTAAATATTTTGGTGCTAGAACGGCTCATGTTGTAAGAATGTTAACTCATCGACTCACACAACGAAAGCTTTAGCGAAGATGTCCCACCCTTGATATTTAGTATATTCATGTTGAATCTTGGATTTTGATGATGAAATCAATTGATGAAGTTAAGATCTAATATACGCTTGAGTGACATAGGACTAAACTCGATCAAAGAAAGATAATTCGATTAAAGTATGAAGAATTAGATGACGGGCCGGAATAGAACATGTCAGAAGATTGAACGTCGGGCTAGAGGAATAGTACACATGCCGGAAGGACTTCGTGCCATGAGTTCGGGCATTAGGCCGAAGGGTTGGACATTGTGTTAAGGAGATCAGAAGTTGCAGGAGTCAACATGCCAATTAGACAATACGCCAAAGGAGAGGACGATGGGTCGAAGGATCGGACAAAATGCTGGATTAACCAATGACATGTCGAACAATATAGGATTCATACTTGTAATTACTAATCATATTTATCTTGCAAGCCAATCACGTGAATGATGGCACATGTGATATAATACACATTCTTTTTGTTGAATCTTGGATTTTGATGATGAAATCAATTGATGTGTTAGTCATCTAATGTATGTTTAAGTAACGTAGGACTAGTTTTGATCAAGGAGAGGCAAGTTGATTAAAGTAGGAGGAATCAAACATTGGGCCAGAGTGAACTGTTAGAATCAAGAGCGGCACTAAGAGGGAGGGTGAATTAGTGCAGCGGAAAACTTTCATGATTTCAGAAAAATGTTCGTTTCGTTTAAAACCGATTCCGACGAAAATAGTTTTGATTCAATCTGTTTCGGACAGAAGTTGAATTTGAAAGCTTTCGTAAAAGTGCAAGAGAAGATTAAGGAGGTTTGTAGTAAAGTAAATTGCACAAATGAAAAGCAAACCAAAATTTAGAGTGGTCCGTTCAAGATGGCCTACATTCACTTTCGGATTCCTCCTTCGACGAGATCACCGGCGTCCACTAAAGGTCTTCCTTTAATAGGTAAAGACCGAACACCTCTTTACAGCACTTTCTCTTTTTCCTGGGTTTAGGAGACAACCCTTACAAGTCTCACTTCTCTTTCTTGGATGGTTACAAGGCTAAGAGATGAAAAAGGAGAACTCTAACTTTTACAATACTTTTATAACTTAAGAATTTAAGATTAAGTCAATACTTCCGTGCCCTTTAATGTAGAAAAGGGTGAGATTTTTATAGGCCCCAATAGCTTTAAAATTGGAGTCAAAAAGTATCACATCCCTAGAATCCGAGATACTAGCGGTACCACCATCGTTACTGGGTGGTACTACCACCGTTGATTTGACTCTGGGCAGTACCACCATCGAATAGGGGCGGTACCACCACCTAGAAATCTAGGGGCACTGCCTTCCAAGCGGTGCCACCGTCGGCCATATTTTTAGGGGCTGAAATGGGTGCTTAATTCGGCCCAATTCAGCCCTGTTAAGGGTCCAATTGGCTCCTAATTAAGTTAGTAGGATTACCTCCCAATCTTAACTTAATTTATGCTCTAACTATGATAATTAAGACATAATTTATAGTTTTTCTTATTTCGATGTGTTAATTGCTCTTCCGGCGAGCTTCCGGCATACTTCTGGCAAATATCTGACGAACTCTCGGCAATGTTTCGACGGACTCCCGGTAAGCTCCTAGACTTTACGACGATCTTCTTGGCGAGTTTCGACGAGCTTCTTTGGCAAGCTCCTGGACTTCTTGATTGGTTCCAGTAGAACTTCTAACGAATGTTTGGACTTCCGTCGAACTCTCGAACTCCCAATGAGATCTCGATCTTGACTCCGGCACAACACCTGCTTTATGTCTTACTGCTATTGTAGTTAATCCTGCACACTTTTCTCAACATATAGATTAGATCAAACAAATTACAATTGACTTCATCATTAAAATCCGAGATTCAACAATCTCCCTCTTTTTGATGATGACAATCAATTGATGACGGAGTTAACCTTAACTCCCCCTATCTATATGCCATACTTGAGAAAAGACATTCTTGAATTCAAGGCCTTTGAATTCAAGAAACAAACTGATAAGATAAGTTTATTAAACTTATCAACATGCACATCATGATTCCTATCATGATCTAACATTCTCAAAATATGATGCCAAGTATTTCTAAAAATGATGTTAAGGCATGACATCCATTTTTAAGTATGATATTTCAAATATGAAAGATGACAAAGATAGCAATTCATCATTCTATGGCAAGATATCAATTATAAAATAACAAGTTAAGCTCTAGATATCTTATCATAATGAAAGAAATTTATCAAGCAAACATTTCAAATATATATGATGAAATACATTGCATACATTTGTCATCAATTTACCATATTTTGGTATTATTTCTCCCCCATTTGTCATCAACAAAAAGGAGAACAATTCAACAATGCAAGTATGGTAAAATAAATCAAGCAAGTTTCACACTCAAAAGTTCTCATCATTAAATGTTATCAACATTAAAATGATAGATTCCAACAACTTCTCCCCCTTTGTTATCACATTTTGCATGAAGAAGAGGAAAGAAGGTAAGGAGGGAATCCATTAAGAACTTAATTTGTGAAATGATTTGAATCAAGTCAAAAATAATAAATAAGTTTTTGTTAAAACATACTTTCATTTTGACAAAGAGAAGGGATTCATGTAAAGGATCGAGATATCTATATGAAATCAAATCTCTACGAAAATTATCACACAAATGCTTTCATTATCACACATGAGAATTCATCTTTCAAGGATTAATATATCCATTGGAATTCCTTCAATTTTCATGAGAAGAATTCATGGGAGAGGAGTATCACATGAA